TTTGTTCTCTTTCTTTTTTAATGACATTCCCCCCCCCGCCACAATACACACACACACGCACACACATACACGCACAAGTGTTGGCTTCAAGCAGGAATATGGGATATAAACATCAGCTTTCAGTGGAATTTTAACTCCTTTCTGAGGTCTTGTTATTGTTACTCCTAAAGTTAGGTGATATCCTCCAGGGATGAAGGGACAGATAAATGATACAATAAGAAAACCACCTTAGTGCTCCACAAAGAGGAGCCCCTTGATTTCCCTCCAATCAATGCTACCATCAGCACCTAATGGAGCAAAAACTTTTTCCTAGGCCATATATTTTGTGTCTATGGCCTGGCATCTTTTCTATCTCCCATTTCCTCCCTTAATATGAGTCACCAGCTTCTGCCACCCCTGCTACTACCATCCTGACCACCCTTACAACCACCACCTCCTCTACCCATGACCCAACTACCATGACCAGCACCACACCTATCCGCACTGCATTGTTTTTCCCCATAGCCATTCTTTTTGTCCCCAGTAACACATCAGTCATGTCACATTCTCCACCTGCAGCCCTATCTCTGGCCCCCAAATATTGCTGCACCGCTCTTACACTGTATTTGTCAATCAATATCTATCATTAACAGCAATATAACAGCTGTTGTCTCATCAGATTAATTACAAAATTTACAAGTAAGGAAGAACCATCCATTACAAACACACTAACATTTTGAACGGAACTCCCTTTTACTGGGAAAAAAAAAAGTTTAAATAGTCTTTGAGAACAAGAGGTGGTGATGTACAGAATAACCCCCCTTCAGTAGTCTTGGGGATCTGAAAGTACACACTCTGTACATCTAACTTGCAGGAACTTGGTCAGAGATTTGGTTTAAAACATAGCTCTTGTTTTCCTTTTCTAGTTTTACCCCTAGAAAGCTCAGGCTGCCCCTTCCGCCCTCCAACCTATAGACACTGTGATCTCTCTGTTAAGTTTCTTTCATAGAACCTAAGTGTCCAATCAAAGCCAGACCCCAAACTAGTATTTCTATCTTCTGTCCCCAGTGACCAGAACTTAATAAAAGCCCCCCTTCCTTAGATTCTGTCCTGCACTGAATCCCAACAAAAAGCCAACCTCACAGTTGTTCAGGGTGTGAACATTCAAGGCCACCGTATCTAAGGGGGCACCAATCACATCATTAGTAACCCTACTACCTTTAAAATTATATTTTTATTATAATTTTAAAGATGGATAATTTATTTAAATTGTCATTTCCCCGCATACGGCAATAAAGTATCTTATTCTAAAAATCAGTACAGTCTAACAATTTCCCATCAAATGGAAGTAGAATAACTGTGGAAGGGGCGACTTTGTCTAATTGGCACAAAATGTCATATGGGCTCACAGCAGCCCTCAGAAAAGCTTCTCTCAAATGTTTTAAACTGTCTGGGGTCTTGGCTGTTCGCTACACTTCTACTATTAGCTTAATAAAATCTGTTTGGCTGTATTAACATCCCTCTCCCCAAATCTGGTCTTTTTTCTTAGTAATTTCAGTTTTCAAGCACATCCTACACTCGAAGCAAGCCCTTAAATGCTACTGCATCCCCTTGTCCTATTTCTGTCCGTTGATGTTACTAAACATGTGTCAGCAAGAATACAATAACCTTTTGTTGCAGAGAAGATTAATTACCACAAGGAAAGAGATGTCCATGACAGACACACTCTACCAATTTAAAATCATTAACAAAATATGCTGTTTTAACTTGAATTTCAGTCAATGTCTGAATATATTCCTCACATTTTTTAAAAGCATTATTAAGTTAGGCTTTCATATGAGAATTCATTTCAATTTTCTTGTTTCATTACTGATATTTACAAAAACTGCCACCAGTTATTACTTGGAGTACCAGAAAGTGCTGTGCAATATTTAAGAGGCAATTATGGACCCAGGTCAAATGGAATGACAAAGCCAACAGAAATACACATACACTCACCTTGACCCCCAGAAAACAAGCTTTACTGACATTGGTGACAATTGGCCCTAGTTGACAATCCAGGTGTGGAAACCTTAAAAATAAAAAGATACAGGAACATTTAGAAGAAAGGAGGAAGATTCAGGGAAGCACAAACAGTAACTTAATTATAATACTACTTCTCACTATACCATAAAGTTAGTTCATGAGTTCTTAAATCTAAGCAATAATTGTACCACAAACAAACTCTTCAAAATTGGCGTTGTGTCATGAATTTACCATTTTTCCACTGGCTGTGTCTAGAATTTTAGAGATACTTAACCTTATTTTCAGATTAATCTTCAATGGATTACATGACTTCAATTTTCTTTCTATCTTATTCCCTCAAGTGGTTAATGATGTGAAAACTGATTCTTAAACACACCACATAAATGATACGTCTTAAGGACTTCAGACTTACCTTTCATCGGGGGAAGAATACCTCTGATGCATGAATAATCATGTAGATCTGAATTTTTCTAAATTGCACCAAATTTATAGTTATGCTTCCTATTTTCTTCTAATTCAGAAGAAATTAAAAGTGAGAGGATCCATAAATCCTACAATATTGACAATATTAATACTAATTAAATCCTTAATAAAATTGTATTTCAAAATAAACCAGCAAAAATTCCTTTCCTTTCTAAGTTGCCCAGCAAGATTAGTTGTTAGATAGTAGAAAAAACGCAGTTTCCTTTCAAATGCTACTGCAATGGACACAACAGAATGTCTGCTATTATTAGATTGCATCATATAAAATAGCTGATATCCAACCAGAAATTTCATCATTTTCCAAACAAGAAAATAGATATGATTTTAAAACCCAGTGATCATGAAACAAATCTTCAAAATTACCAATTGGCTCAGCACAAATCATTTTTCTGAGCAGCATCAGTGGTTTGGGTATTAAATGTTTCCACTGCAATCCAACCTATGTTCATGGCACCCGGAAGATAATAAACAAATTGCCTCCAGCCTTTGGAAGGGCCAGAGTCTCTTTTCAATTCTTTTTTCCCACCCAGATTCTATTTACTGCCAACTCCCTCTCAGCTTCCTCCTTGCCTGGGGGGTGAGGGGAGGGAATAGGGTGGTACGGGTATCGGGGAAGAAGGGAGACATCTGTAATACTTTCAACAATAAAGGTATTTTTTTAAAGGGTCTTTTCCTGGAGGATGGTGTGGTAGAGAGAAAAGCTGAGAGCAAGAAAGCATAAAGGTGAGAGTAAGAGTGCAGAGCTCTAAGAAGAGAGGCTAAAGGGAAAGCACATCAGAGTAAATGAGGAACACAATGGGAGGCAGGGGGGTGAAGGAAAAAGATGCTAGCATCACACCACATTGAGAAGAATTAACAGGTCCCAGTCCAGATGGAATGAAGGGAACGTTTACTTCTGCCTAATAATGTATTAGGACTTGCCACAATCACCACTCCCCGCTATCCCACCCCTGCTATTAACACCATCCCTGCCACCACCCAGGAACAAGGGCAACACCACTGAAACTAAAAGCCAACAGAACAGAGGCCATGTGAGTACAGCAGGTGTAAAAATACACATGTTTACAAAATGTGTTTTCTTCTGAGATGGAAGAACTTAAACAATTTTCCCTGCTGCCAGGAGACCTACTAAGCGAGCAGCCTACCATAAATTGTTTTGTTGGGTTTTCAAATAAATAAGCAGCCAGTCTCAAAATAAACGTTTTGATCTCTTTTTCATACCACGCTTCTATTTCTCATTCCCTATTTTTTAAATTACTAAAAGATAAGATAAAGTCAAAATCAGCACTCTGACCACATGAAGGGGTGGCAAAATCCAAGCTGATATGCTAGGTGAAATGCATAGTTTTGTTCATATCCAATCAGAATTCTAAAACAACCTAAGACCAAGAGAGGAAATCAAGGAGAGAAAATTCAACATTCAGAGGCACTTCATTATTCCAGCAGTGATTTTCCCCTTAAAACAGAGATATTGTGAAGGTAAATACATTAATGATGGCAATAGTTGAATGATAGCACTGATAAACCTGAACTGGAACTTGAAGAAAACACTATCAGTTTGGAGAGTCTACGGGAGGGGCTAGGGCTTATGGAAGTCTCCTACGCAATCTGGAGAGCACACGAGAATTCTGCAGGAAGAACTCTATGCTCAGAATGAAGCTCTATGGTTCTAACTTCGCCTTCCCTTGGCTTCTCCTTCCCTTGGTAAAATACCACCCATTCTTGGCTCACAGAGCTGAGTGTGCACATGGCTTGCCTTAGTCTGCAGGCACTGAATTTTAACTCTTTCTCTTTCCCAAATCATTGTTGGTGAGAAAACACATTAATTGGTATTAATTTTCAGTTGAAAGCACTACTATTAAAAGTAGTAACAGAAAAAGGAAATAATAATTATTATAAGTATCACCACAATAAAGAGCTACTGCAAAATAACCACCCTTAGTTAACTGACCAGTTGGGCTTGCTCTGCTCCTTGTAAGTTAGAAAGTGACTTCATGTTAATAAGCAACAAAACTAGAGTGTAAGCAAACTTAAGGAGTGCTGGCTAAGGTAAACAAAGACTATCTATGCATGTATGGAAACTGCCAGGTATCACCTAAATGAGGCCACTCTGTGCAGAGCCAGAGGCTGCATAAGAAGCAACTGGTCAACCTCATACACAGGAGCCCTCGGCCACTGGTGATTATCACTGTGATCAGAGCAGGGTCTACAAAACATCCACCATACAAAGGACGTGGCAGCTGACACAAAGGCAGGAGGAGTAAGTGTTACCTAATGCCCGAGTCCTATAATAAAAGCTGAGAAATGAACTCTGCACTATCCTGTGCGTGCAAACCTGAAACAGGCGGCTACACAATAATCACCGAGGGAGCTTGTCAAACACAGATTTCCGGACACTACCCTAAAACTTATTCTTGAATCTCAAGAATGTGTACTTTCAAAAGCTTTCCCTGTTACTACTGGAGCGCAGCCACGTTGAAGGACCAGTGCTAAAGGAAACTACCAGAGAAGCGGTCTCTCAGTTCACCAGGAGTTTGAGCCAGGTCATCAGGAAAGTTCACGTAACCTTCAAAGCCCCTCACTGAGTAGATTTCAATACACTGGATTTACAGAAAAAACTGAGGGGCATGTCTAAATGGTCAAGTGACTTGGCCAAGATGTTAAAGTAAAAGAAGAACAAATCTTACCTTATGACTTCCTTCTTAAAATTCTTTGGTGGGTGCTCACTGCCTATATGCGAAACTATGTTTCAGGTATTCTGCAAAGACATAACCCCTGACTCTAATTCAGCCACACTATCCCTTCAGCCACCCACATCCATGCTCCAGGCAGCAGTACTATTTCCAGCCTCCCTGACTTTACCTGAGCCCTTCCTCTATCTCACATACCAAGAACCCTCTTCATGAAGCCACTGACTACTACTGAGAGTTATCCAGGTAGAACTGACAATTTCCTTCAGTGGGTCCTGCAGTAATTAGAACAGTGATGGTGAACCTATTACACGCGTGTCAGAGGTGACACGCAATTTCATTTTTTGGTAGATTTTTCTTTGTTAAATGGCATTTAAATATATAAAATAAATATCAAAAATATAAGTCTTTTACTATGGTTGGAAATATCAAAAAATTTCTATATGTGACACGGCACCAGAGTTAAGTTAGGGTTTTTCAAAATGCTGACATGCCGAGCTCAAAAGGTTCGCCATCACTGAATTAGAACAACAAAATAACATTTAACTTCTCTCCAATATTACATGTCTGATCATAGAAATAAACGACATAATTTTTTAAATTAGATGTCAGTAAATGTTTTAAGAATAAATACAGTGCGAGAGACAAAGCCAAAACCTCAATCTGGATTCAAGTAAAAATCAGTATACTATGCTGTGTCTCTAGTGGCCTTGAGTATGATTTTATAAAAATAGCCCCAAAACTATCAATACAGTAACAGCCCCAGGTAGCAACTGAATACTTGATATGGCTCATCCAAACTGAAATGTGCTATAAGTGTAGAATACATACCTGATTTTGAAGAATCAGTATGAAAAAAGAATGTAAAATATTTCAACATGTTAAATGATATTATAGATACATTAGGTTAAATAAAATAACGTAACATTACTTCCATCTGTTGTTGTTTTTTTGCCTTTTTTTTACGTATGTATTGATTTTTTTTTTTAAGAGAGAGAGAGGAAGGGAAAGGAGGAGATAGAAACATTGATGTGAAAGAGAGAAACATTAATTGGCTGCCTCCTGCACACCCCCTACTGAGAATTGAGCCTGCAACCTGGGCATGTGCCCTGACCTGGAATCAAATCCAGTGACCACTCAGTGCATGGGACAACATTCAACCACTGAGCCACACCGGCCAGGCTTCTTTTGCCTTTTTAATGTGGTTACTAGGAAATTTAAAATTACATTGTGGCTTACATTATATTTTTATTGGATGATGCTACTTCATAAAGTATATCTTTTCTCTACCTTAATAAATCTGCTAAAATGATGTTGACTTTTGTTAACATTAGAAACTATGGGCAGTATTCTACAGCATGGCCCTGCTGGGCACACAGAACCTGCTCCTACATTCAACATTCAGACTATTGCTTTTATTTTTTTTTTTACTTTATTTTTTTCCCATCACCATTTATCCCCCTATACCAGGGGTGGGCAAACTTTTTGACTTGAGGGCCACAATGGGTTCTTAAACTGGACCGGAAGGCCGGAACAAAAGCATGGATGGAGTGTTTGTGTGAACTAATATAAATTCAAAGTAAACATCATTACATAAAAGGGTACGGTCTTTTTTTTCAATAGTTTTATTCATTTCAAATGGGCTAGATCCGGCCCGCGGGCAGTAGCTACCCTATACCCTCCTCCACCTTCACCCACTCCCCTCCCCCGCAATCAGCACACTATTGTCTATATCCATGAGTTCTCTTTTATTTTCTTTTTTGCTCAATCCCTCCACCCCATTCCAACATCCCACCACCACAGCTGTCTGCCGGCTCTCTATCTATGAGTCTGTCTCTACTTTGCTTATTAGTTCAGTTTGTCCATTAAATTC